TTTTTTTTATAAAAATATAGCTCATTATCTAACAAAAACCATATAAGTCAAATTTCAAACTTTGTAGAAAAGCAGGAAAAATGTTACAACAACAACAAACTTTTTATAGGGAATTTCTAAGTATGCAGATTTATAGCCTACTAACTAAATTCCAGATTAAGGAACTGCTAATTTCAATTGGTTAAAAATTCGCGTTGATTTTTAACTGACTTCCAAAAAAGGAGGAGGTTATCAGTTCGTCGGAATATTTTTTTATTTTATTTTTTTTTTTTTTTATGTATGTTACCGCATAACTTTGGACCACGTCAACCAATTTCGATAATTCTGCATCGGAAAGGTAGTGTCCCAGAGGTGGTCCCATACTAATCTGGTTAAGATCCGATCAGTGGATCATGAAATATATATATATATATATTTTTTTTTTTATGAGAGAATAGAAGAGGCAACATTGGCAGCGCAAGCCTTGCTGCAACTGATAAAATTCGCCCAACTGTCTACTTTTGACGTGCCCAATGCAACAATAGGAGTGTACTCGTACCCAAAACTATCAAAAGTTTTAGAAAACTTTTACTTTTTTGGGGTTCTCGTATCCAAAAAACTTGCAAAGTAGTGGAAGGAAATTTTTACCAGCGAAAACTTCCCTACAAGACGCGATTACCAGAAACTCCAACACATTTAAAATATTTTACGAGGAAACTAATACATACATGCAAGCTTACTTGACACTTGTTGAAATCAGTGCCTTGCTCTCTTTGCCCACATGTGCATGCTACATTGAACCTTTAAGCTGAAAATGAGCGAATGAAACAACTAGAAACAACCAACGCTGCATTCACATGTGTCACAATTGTCAAAATCAAATTCAATCCAAATAAATGAGTGAAAGATTTGTGAATTGAACTAAAACCTGCTGTTTACCTTAATAAATAATACCACGTAAAGTCCTAAATTAAATAAATGAAAAAGAAAAGTTTCCAGACTTACATGAGTCCTTATATAACAAATATTTCTGGTAGTCCTAACAAACATATACCAGAAGTATGTATATCTAAGACTTCTGAGGGTCAATTCCCGTTCTGCGTTATCGTGAAGTGAAGTGAAAAGTATAAAATTAACACCGAAATAAATGCGGTGTAAAGGTGTTATTTTTATCACTTCACGATAACGCAGAACGGGAATTGACCCTCTGGTAGGCCTAACAGACATATTTTATTTTTATTTTTTTTTTTTTACTTATTACAGTCATTTGACCTATACACATTCACGTATATACATTTGAAATATGTATTACAATATTTGTGTATAATAAAGTAAAATTAAAATTAATGCTTAAAATAAGTTAACCTGTTACACTTTTCCTTCTAAGCTATATAATAGTTTATGTATAATTAAGATAGCAGATTCGGGATGCTGTTGAAGTGGACGTGATTCCAAGCAGTACCGTAAATATATCACGTAGGACATGCGGTCTAAGGGTGTAATTTCCATAGCCACCACAACTGGGGGGGAAAGGACTAGTTTCCAAGCCGTCTCTTATAGACTTCTCTGCCGGCAGGCGATCTGAATGGACGAGATCCAGAAGTATAACTAGGACTTCTGGTAGGCCTAGCAGACACCTACTAGAAGTCTCTTTAAGATTTGTGGTTGGCCTAACAAACATATAACATAAATCTAACAAATATTTCTGGTACGCCTAACAGACCTATACCTGAAATCAATCTAAGACTTCTGGTATGCGTAAGGGATATGTACGAGAAGGCTAACATAAATGTCCATTAGTAGTTTTAGGTAATTAATCATGTAATTACCTGTTAGCCCTAACGCGTGTGAGCGGTCAAGGTATATGTTTACAAATGTAGGTAAGCGCAAGTGCTAGAAAGGGATACAAACTCTCACGTACACAAGAGTTTCTGGCACTTTTTTCCAATCATCAATCAATCGATGTCATCATTTTAATATTTTTATTATGTGATTTTTATTATGTCGATGTGACGCGGGGTTCCGAAGTTATAACTGATTAAAAATTTGTAGGCCTATGGGAGGTGCCACGCCCCTTCACACAGTTGACACCATATTTGCAAACGAAACCATACCTATAACCTTCCTGAGGTAAAAACAAATAAGTGTACAAAGTTTCGTGCGATGCCGTGTAGTGGTTCAAAAGTTATAAGGTAATAAACAAACATACATTCACATTTACATATATAGATTTAAATAAGTTTATTTTGTCAATTTCAACTATAAAACCCCATGCGATCAGCGGTTTTTCTCAGTTGCAAGTGCTTACTAGTAAAAATGTATTCAGTAAAAACTAGCAACTTCTCAAAATGACATGTCACTTTGCGCTCTCAATTTCGCATTTCTTCCAATTTTTTTCGGGCACAAGAACACCAAAACTTAATAGTTAGTAAAAACTGGTACAAACTATCGCGTACAAGAACGCTACACATGAACCAACCTAAAAAGCCATCGATGTATGTATATGTAATCGATTTTCAGGAAAAAGTTTTCTTAACGTTTTTGATGTTTTTCGGTTTGGTTTACACCGTCTTCTATCTCTTCGTAGGGTTAATCACTGCGCATTTTTCGTTTTCTTTGTTTGTTTTCATTCTTCTGCAGATGCCAAAAACGCTCAGAAATAAACTTTCTTCTTGCTTCTTTGATTAGGTGATGCTAAGTGTGGCCATATTGTTACAATAATATTAAATGCAAATTGCATACTTCTGTACATATGTATGTCGCGTGTTGTGATGCTGAAAGCACCACATATTTTTGGTTCATGAACGCTACATATACTATTGATTACCATATGTACCTTCTTTCGATACCGCTAATTGTATCATTATAACCAGGGATGCCAACTATACTTAGCTATGAAGTGAGGATAAAAAAATGTCAAATAGAAGAAAAAAGTGCCAAAAAAGGTGGCATTCTTTCAAATTCTTCCTTTATAGCAATAAAATTAGAAACACATTCTTAAAACAAAGGTCCAATGCTAAAGTAAGAAAAACCAGTTGTATACACTATAAAAAATTTAGTTGAGAAAAATAAGACCGCGTAAAGAATTTCACAAAAATGTATTGAAACATTAGTATTTTTCAGAAGTGCCATTTTTGGCAATTAAGTCCCATTTCGAGTAAAATAGAGCCAAAAATGGCACGGTTTGAGCCAAGTTTGCAGCCCTGATTATAACGTCATTATCAATATCAACTTCATAAAAGCCATATTGTTCCTAGAATTATATTTAACGGAACACGCTATCGAATTGGACTGACTGACGGCAGGCTATTTCTCTACACCTCAAATGTGACATAATATCAAACATTCAGCTTTTATAAAATGCTTGCAATTCTTTGGCTTTGACTCTCGGTCTATATGTTGCAATGCAATCTTTTTCTTGTGGGCGAAATCATCGTATGTGCCCATACAAAAACATTCTCTTCGTAGTAAAAAAAAATTAATAGTAGAAAAAACGCTCTTCTGTACAATTTTGTCTCCGGCTCATACGATAATTTCTCGCAATGGGGGCGATATGTAAGTAATCAGCCTCAAATCGCACGGCATTTCCCAAAATTTCGACTCGACTGATGTATTAAAACGGAAATACTTGGCAGCACTGGATTGTTTAAATTAAATGGCGGTTGCTTAGTTTGCTCGGGGGTGGTTATGTCGAGTTTGGCACAGGGTTGCACGTTCATTATGGTTTTCATGGCTATTGCCAACACGAAATGAAAATTTCAGATGTACATAACGTGCACAATTAATATATTTCTTATGATATCGTACAGACAATTAACTGTGCCCTAATCTTTAAAGCTCCTACAGCATAAATTCATTTATCTGGTTTTCGGTAGCACGGCAATTTTTGTGTATAACAACAATTATCTAAAATTTTTGTATATGACAACACCGAATTTGCTGCAGTTTGCTGCAACAACAATTGCACGTAGTTTACCAAACAAGATTTCTGCATAACACCGACCTTCCTTATGCTTGAAATACAATACCGGCGAACGGCAAACTTCGCCGAATTGGGCGATGCTGTCGTTCACCGTTCGCCCAACTATTTCGCCTACTTAAACAGAATAAGAGCGGTAGCGAAAACAGCTGATCCCATTTGGTCGCCTTTATAATTTGGGTGACCATATTTAGAAAAAACTAAACCATATTTAGAAATGAGGAAATGATAACAAATATAAATGTAAAACAAAGAAAGATTATTATAAATAATTTGTTTCAAGCCAGATTTAACGAATCCACAACTATATTTTTCAAACAACAAAAAAAAAATCGTGTTTAGGTTGTTTTCTTTTTAAACTTTGAAAGCACAAAACAAATACGGCCACCTTTGGCACGCACAGCTGTCATCGCCCAGCAGAGCGATAGAAATAAATCTATCGCCATGAAACGCCGCCAAGCGAAGTTCGCATTTCGCTTTGGCTGTGTTCAATTTCATATGCTTGCGGGTGTTCTAATTTTGACAGCGCGAATTTCGCTGTGGTGAGTTCGCCGTTCGCCGGCATTGTATTTCAGCTATTATGCTTGACAATAGACAATGTCGGCCGCTGTAGTGTAGTGGTAAACAGTGCGCGTTTCTACTCCACAACACCTGGGTTCAAGCCCTGGTCAAAGCAACATCGCAAAAAAAAATAGAGAAAAATGTTTTTTCTAAACAGCGGTCGACCCTGGGCAGGCAATGGAAAACCACCGAGTGTATTTCTGCCATGAAAAAACAGCTTCTCATAAAAATACAATCGCCGTTCGGAGTCGGCGTAAAACTGTAGGTCCCTCCGCTTTGTGTGACAACATCAAGGCGCACGCCACAAAACGGAGGAGAAGCTCGGCCAAACACTAACATATGTGTAAGTGCCAATCTATTATTATTATTAATAGACAATGCAAATGTGGTCGAGTCGTAAATTTGGCCGTAATTTACGACTTAAGCTGAAATTAGTCAAGAACGTAAACCTACCGGTACGTAAACCCGAGTCAGCTGACACGATCTGTCTTACCAAAGCGCCTTGTAAATGAAAACTCAACAGCACAGAATTTTTCTATAGTTGTAGCCCGTAGCGCAGAAATCTACGGCACTTAGATTTTTCCGTGTCAGCTGATTTCTTCCTTCTATAGATGGTTGCCACTTCGTCATAAAAAAGTTATAATTTCCTATTCAAAATACGTTTAAAATATTTGGAATTTACTATTGACTAAGGTCTTTTGTTGAAAACTAAGTAGTTTATATTTAGGTTCGATCTATTATAACACGAAAAATTGTAGTTGAAAAGGTAAGTTTAAGAAAAGGCATTGATGAGTGGCAACACTGTAGTAAGCAACACTGAGGGCTCCAGTAATCGACAAAATTCTGCGTATACAGATTGCGTTTAAGTATACGTTCTGGGTTCTGGACTAATTTCAGCTTTACGCAATGAGGCTGTTAGTCTAATTTACAACTTATGCAATCATGATTCAATAATAAAAGGTTAGTTAATAATTGTCAGCCTTGGTTTGACACTCCCTTACAAAAGGTTGCATCTACGAAGGACGGAGAAATGGAAAGAATAAAATCCCTTGGTGCGAAAATGGTAGTAGAAAAGTAGCAAAGTAGGCAATTATTTAGTAGTGAAATTACTTTTGTAAATATTAATGTATTTTCAGGAAATCTGGCATTTTAAATGAAATATTGCACGAACGTGAATTGCGTAATTTATGTGCTATTTATTGTATTAGACAGATGTCAAGCTCAGTAGACGTGTTTGTTGGTGCGCTGTAGTAACTTCACATTTAGTCCGAGTTTCCGTTGATATATTTGCATTTTAAGTGATTGCGAGTCTCATAAATCTATCTCTACACCTCATACCGAGTAGTTTCGTTGACTATATTTTGTGTGTGCGATATTTGTATTTAACAAATTGCCTAAATTTAATTTCAAGCAAAGCTTAAAATGTCAACAAGAAGCAAATTTACGCGCCAAACGGTATCGACACCGCAGAACAGTTCTCTCTATAAAGCTGAAAAAAACAAACTCGCCACTCGCTTGAGCGTATTGAAGAGCGACTGGACTTGCAGAGAAGGAGCATTGTAGAAGAGATAGCTGAGCGGGTAAAAACGTCTGAAGAGCGAGTGATGCAGCGATTTGGCGAGTTAACGGCTGAGCTGGCGAACCTTCGAAAAGCGCTGCGAAAAATCGAAGAACGTGTGACAAAGGCAGAATTCCAAATCGCGCAGAATGAGCAATTGAAAAAGGAAATGGTGCAGCTTAAGAACGAGGTAAATGATTGCCAAAACCAAGCTGTATCCACTGATTTCATCATCAATGGTCTCCCCTACGTTGACAACGAGAATTAGGAAGCTACCTTTGGTAGTCTGTGCCAGAATTTGGATTTGCCTGCGCTACAGATTCGCTCTGCGTTTAGAATATCGAAGCCGAACAACTCCCCTGCTTCAGTGATTGTGAAGTTGGCGTCTTCAGCCGATCGCTCCACCCTCTTTAAGTCAGTAGCACGCTTCTGCAAAAAAAAAAAAACGCCACTAATGCTCCGTGATATTGGCTCCAACTCAGATGAGAAAATACATATACACGAGTGCCTTACGAAAAACAACCGCGAGCTAATGCGCTTTTGCAATGCAGCAACGAAGAGATAAAAAGCTGGTGGCTGCTTTCTCAGTTCGTGGGAATGTGTATGTACGCGTTCGCCCTAAGTGCAAAGCCGTGAAGGTAATTGATATGGAGCGCGTCAAAAGTGTTGTTGCTGCAGATACCTGATAGCGAGTGTTTATGTATAGCTGTTATGTTTACCATTTGTTTATGTCGTATGTGCTCTTTTTTCTTCTATTGCTCAACATCTTGCATCTGCTGCTTTCCTCTTAACTATTCTGCTTCTTATCTTAAGTTAACAGAAGAAGAACATTGCCAACAACCTGATTTTACGGGTTTGATTATGTAGAATAACCCCAATAAAGTATTTTTTAAATGTTTATTTTTGTATCCCTTATTTTATATAATTTTCATTTCTATAACTAATTCGGGATTTTTTTTACAGGGGTTTCGCTTTTGATTTGAATGAAATTGATGAAATTACAAAGAAATATGCCCATTCGGTTCGTAATAATACACAAGAACTATTTTGGTATTTAAATGAACTCAATATCCCAGTACTTGTATTCTCTGCTGGATTGGGAAATTGTGTTATTGCTATGCTTCGACAAGCAGGAATCCTTTATCCCAACGTGAAGGTTATCTCGAATTTTCTCCAATTTAAAGATGGAATGCTAAACGGATTCCAGGAGCCAATAATCCATACTTTTAATAAAAATGAAACAATGCTGGAAGGGAGTGACTACTACGATTTGGTTCACAATCGAGATCACATCTTACTCATGGGTGATACATTGGCTGATTCTGGTATGGCAGATGGTGTTCCTGCATCGTCCCATGTAATAAAAATTGGCTTCCTCTTTCACCATGTAAGTGTGCATTCTTTCTAAGTGTATAATGAAGATTTAATGTTTTGACCATTCTAGGTTCAGGAAAATATGGAGCAATATATGAACACTTTTGATATTGTTTTAGTTGACGATCAAACAATGGACGTGCCACTAACGCTGTTAAAACTCATCAAAGGAGATCCTCTGTCGTGCGATTAGGCTTGAATTCGTTATCGTATACAATTATCTAATATGTTTTAAAACAACATAACTGACTTGACGAATGAAATTACATAGACGTAATATGTATAGTTATCGGCATTATCGTGGATTCCATGTGACCAAATATGCCCGGAAACTATAAAGCAAAACAAAAACCATTTTTACCAATTTATTTTTGTTTTGCCTATTAAATTATGGGACCGATTTATTCGCTGGAATTGGCGATAAGGCTGTAGGTTTCTTTAATCAAGCTCGAATAAAAATATAGACGAAAGTTGCCTTTTTTAAATGGACTTTTTTGGGAGGTGACTTCGCTTCTGCCAAGAGCTAAAATCATCGTACAGTTTTCTGTCATGACAAAAGCAATACATGCATACACTTACATACAAGCGTTTTATACTACGTTTATACGTAAGCTATTTATTTGCAAATAAAAATAATTTGCAAATACCTAAATCACTGTTTATTTGATGGTGAAAAATTCTTTTTTCATATTGCCTAATTATAATAAGGCAATAATATGACCATCGAAAAAGAAAATATAGTTAAAAATGGCAATGTCTTGGTTATAAAAAGTCAATAAAATTATTATCAAAAAAGAAAATAAACCTAAGAATGGCAGCGTCTTGCGCTTATTTGCAAATAGTACCACTAATCAATACTTATTTGCGTAATTTAGTTATTTACAAATATACTAGTAATTTATAGCAAAAAAAAAAACCGACTTCAACTCCCATATAAAAAAAATATATATATATATCTCATGATCCGCTGATCGGATCTTAACCAGATTAGTATGGGACCACCTCTGAGACACTACCTTTCCGATGCAAAAAGAATTATCGAATCGGTTGACGTGGTCCAAAGTTATGCGGTAACATACATAAAAAAAAAAAAAAAAAATATTCCGACGAACTGCTAACCTCCTCCTTTTTTTGGAAGTCGGTTAAAAATTAACTCAGCGTTTATACGGCAAAGTTTACCATTTTGCAAATTGTTATTTGCAAATAATACGTGCGTATAAACGTAGTATTAGACAACTAATACGTATTTCTTTATTGTATTGACAGTATTGTCCAATGTATACACGCCGTAAGTGAAAACACTATCAGCTGATTGCCAAAATGTGCCTACAGCTGAGATCACCTGTTTTTTTTTAGGCGTTTGCTCATATCTTTTACAATTTCTTTCATTTCTGTTACAATTTATTCAAAATACACTAACACACTGAACCAAAAACACCAATACCCCTGGTAGACAGCTTTACCCGATTCTCCAACACACATGTACAATTTTTCGAAAAAACGAATACATATGCAAGATAATTTCGCTCTTCTTCTTGTTAAATAGCAAAACTTTAAAAATATGTATTCAGTTCTTCCCACTCATAGTAACTGGCATACTTTTCGTTAAGAGCGAAATACACCACACAAGCGGTTTGACAAACCAAGCGAAATTTCCCTTTGCTTCAAGCCATTTGTGCTGTGTATGGGGGTGTTTGAAGGTTTGACAAACCGCCGTCAAACCTTCAAACACCCCCATACACAGCACAAATGGCTTGAAGCAAAGGGAAATTTCGCTTGGTTTGTCAAACCGCTTGTGTNCTGGCATACTTTTCGTTACACATTTTTCGGAAAGGAGAGAAAGAGACAACTGCCTGCGTAAGATGTTGTTAGTGCCACAAAATTTACAGACAAAAGTAATTGATATTTTAACTCGGTTCGGGAAAAATTGCGTCGATGTCATTCAAAAACATTTTATGCTCTTTAATATTTGGTTAGGAAGTTCATATGAATATTAATATGACATTAATATAATTGATCAAACACAGAAATAAGTAAAAATTTTCTATTATAACGTCAAACATACCGAGTACATCATAATGAATTCTTTTTAACGAGTTCTTTTTAGTGAGTACTTTTTCGACTAACCTTGTCCATAACTTTTATTTACATATATTTTGAGAAAACAAAGTTTGGTGTTAGATGCGCAGTCGTAAACTCGCGAAAATAAATGAATCAAATAAAAATAAAATAGGTGAATAAAGGAATAACGGTAAGAATAATGAACAAGCCCACTTTTCAAAACGAAATGGACGAAAAAATAATGGAAAACAAAAGCCAGGTTGAAAGCCGCTTGAATGTACTTGATCATCGCATTGATGCTATGGAAAAGGTTTTGTGTGAAAATGTGGGTTAAATAAATAGATATTGGATTTATTTGCAAGTAATATTTCATTCCATTTCAGATGGCTAACAGCAATGGGTTGCGCGCTGGGCTTGGGACCCGCCACGTAAAAACCACTTCCAGTGAAGAAGCAAGGCAAAGCCTTGGATGAGAAACACCCCTCAATCGACTTCGCCGGGGCCCGAAACATGGTAGTATGCAGTACTAGGTTCAAGCATAAAAAGATCCATCAAGCTACGTGGCTGTCTCCGGATCGAAAAACGAGAAACCAAATCGATCATGTTGTGATAGACGGAAGGCACGCTTCCAGTGTTTTAGACGTACGCACACTCCGAGGCCCAAACATCGACTCGGACCACTATCTTGTTGCAGCCAAGATACGC